GGATGTAAATGTAAAGGAGGAGCACATGGGGGGACAGGGTGCGGATGTAAATGTAAAGGAGGAGCACATGGGGGGACAGGGTGCCGCTGTAAATGTGTCCCTTACAGGGACTTGGATGTAAAATACATCATTGCCTGACAACACAGTCAGCATGGCCACACACACACACACACACACACTTTTCTTTACCTAGTTTGTGGGACTTTGAAACATACAGGCAAATAGGGCATGAGAGTTTTTCAAAGGTTGACAATAATTTCAGTGGCAAGAACTGAGGAATGAGGATGATTGTTGACATGTTTTTGTTTGTAATATAAAAACAACAGTGATGGGATTTAAACCTAATGATTAAGCATTTTGTTTAGGTAAATCCTTTTAAGGAGCAAACACAAAATACCCATAATGCCTCAGATTGTGATGAAAAGAAATACATGTGAGTCCTTCTGGGCAGTTCACTGACCTTCATGACAGGTGCAGGGTTTGGCTCAGGGCCTCGGTGCCTGTGATTGGAAGGTTTCTGGATCCAATCCCATGCTTAGCAGAATAGTAACACCTCCGGTGGGCCCCTGAGCAAGGCCCTTAACCCCCTGCAATGCTCCCGGGGCCCGAGATAAATCGGCAACCCTGTGCCTGGTCCCCAAGCTTTTCTCTCATATGCCTGTGTTTATGTCTCAAAAAACAGCAAGATTGGATACGTGAAAGCTAAAGAATTCCTATCTACCTAACACTCTGGTATAAAGAAAGCATAATAAAAAAAAATAAGAATAAATAAGTCAGGAGTAATGGGACACAGTGAGTGCCGAGAGATTAAATAAATACACCCTCCAATGAGGCAGGGCAGCGATCTGTTACACCTGCCGCTTGTGACCCACCGACCCACACTGCAGCACCTGCCTCATGCAACTCGTGTTCCTGCACCTACCCAATATGATCTGTGCTCCTGCATCTGCTACATGTGATCTATGCTGCTCAGCTAATCTGTTGTTCCTACAGGGTCCTTGGTTTGCTGTGTGCAGCTAGAAGATATAAAGAGGAGGCAGCATACATCCATATTCTGCAGCTTGCCATGGACTGGAAGAACTTCCAGGCGCTGCTCAGCGGAGTCAATAAGTACTCCACGGCATTTGGCCGCATCTGGCTCTCGGTGGTGTTCGTGTTCCGGGTGCTTGTGTATGTGGTGGCGGCTGAGCGCGTTTGGGGTGATGAGCAGAAGGACTTTGACTGCAACACACGGCAGCCCGGCTGCCCCAACGTCTGCTATGACCAGTTCTTCCCCATTTCCCACGTGCGCCTTTGGGCACTGCAGCTCATCTTCGTCACCTGCCCCTCGCTGTTGGTGGTGATGCACGTGGCGTACCGCAAGGAGCGCGAGCGAAAGCACCGTGTTAAGCATGGCATGGAGGCCAAACTCTATGAGAATACTGGCAAGAAGCATGGCGGTTTGTGGTGGACATACTTGCTCAGCTTATTCTTCAAGACAGGAATTGAGATTGCCTTTCTGTACCTGCTGCACTTCATCTACGACAGCTTTTACTTGCCTAGACTGGTCAAATGCAACTCCAAGCCCTGCCCCAACCAGGTGGACTGCTACATTGGGCGCCCCACTGAGAAGAAGGTTTTCACATACTTTATGGTGGGGGCCTCAGCCTTCTGCATCGTGCTCAACATCTGTGAGATCATGTACTTGATCTTCAAGCGCATTTCACGCGTCGCCCGCCAGATGAAGAGACAGACTCGCATTACGGTATCGCATCATAACGACTGCAAGAACAATGCATGCTGCAACTGCCACCTGCCCATGAACCGGCTCGACATCAAGCCCAGCCTCCGCATCAAGGAGGACATGAGAGCCTCCGCTCCCAATCTGTCCTGGGCTCCCTAGGAGCTCCAGCGACCTTCACCAGCTGGAGGACAATCAGTATCACAGCGGTGGCCCTGACTGCTCTGAGAGCAGCACAACCCCCTGCTGAAGCAGACTGAGTCCCGCATAGCTGGAAGCTGTGAGGGCTGGACTGTCATGGGGCAGCAGGCTGGGTACTGGGCTCTGAATAGTACACCATTTCAGGGGCTTTTGATTGAAAATAACCTGCAATCGAATGGATTTCATTGGTTGTTTAATATTTGTCATAATAAATTCATCCATCAATGTATGCATTTTCCATAACTTTTAGACAACTGCTAATTTGAGTGTGTGTACTTGAATTTCTCTGTGAGGTCGGACCCGCTGCTTGTGCTGGAAAGGCATCATACTCCGGGGAGTTTTCATGTGATTGTGACATGGATACCTTTCAAGAACTGTAGTATTGTACATAAGCATCTTTTTAAGATTTTTTTTTTTTACATTAAACTTTTTTTACTATCATTATTACTTTGCTGTCAGTTTGTTTTAAAAAACTGAGCTGGGAAATGATTCTGCTGTTCCATATGAACACTAAAATCCATCATCTACAAAAGGTGACAGAAGGAAAAGTCTCTCCAGTACGGAGGCTTGTAGTGATCTCAGAAACACAGGGCACAATGCACGGGACACCCTGGGTGGGACACCAGTCTACTGTACGGCAGGCACGCACCCAAGCACACAATGAGGGCAACTCAGAGACACATTCATCTAAACCACATGGCTTTGGATGACCGGAGGAGGCTGGAGAACCCAGAGCCCACATGAACATGGGGAGTACATGTAAAATGAAGGTACTAGAGCAGTTTAATGTCAATGTTTCAGAAGCGAAGTGAGATGCCCCCCCAGTCGGGAAGACAGCCTAAGTGCCTGAGTGGCTCTGCCAGTCCTGAACTCCCCAGGTGTGCTGTGTCTGAGAAGACGTGTTGGAGGAGGTGTCCACAGGACAAGCAGAACAGGTGGCAAAAACAGCAAAAACTCCTGCCCCTCCCTGGACACACCACCTTGATACACTCCTGCTACTGGAACTCTTACGCAAGGTGCAGTGTGACACGCACACTGTAGCGGAGGCGTGGAGTGGCTTACTCACTTACATCGGCTGCGTCAGGGACCAGGCTGACTGGCCAACCCTGAAGTCCCACAGAAGACATGTCACATATCAGATAATACAGGAGTCTGAAGTGGCAGGTTTATCTCCTTGGGGGGAAGTTCATATATCAGCAATGTGTTCCAATTTGTTTTCACAATAGACAAGGAAATTTAAGGTATTTGGCAGTCGTGCATCGACAAGCCCTAAAGTAGAGTAAATAGCTGAGAGCAAAGTCAGCACAGCAACAGTCAGGAGGCGCCATGCTGGGCGAGACCCTGGAGCTTAAGGACGCTGCCGTCCTGGGCAGCTTAGCTAGTACAATGGGGATCTTTTTGAAGAAGATATCAGAGACAAAAAAAAAACAATACCTATAACTCTCATTACTTCGCAATTAACTTTAAACTCAGTCTCGATATACTGTACACTCCTGCATGGAAAATGTCACAGTCACGGAGACTCAGCTAGTGAGGACGGACACACCTCACAGAAAAATCCGCAACACATTCAGAAAGTTTCTATGGAAACAAACTTCCTAAACCACATTTTTGCAAATATATAGATGTTCAAATGTTATAATTGTAACTGAATCCAACACATGCCACGTTTTTAAATCTGGACTGTATTCCATATCCCATTTTCAGCATTGCATGGGCACCATTTATGCCCTGATTTTCCTTTTGTCTTCTCGGTGCTGCAGAGTGCAGCTACTACATAACACATAACATTCCTGGCTCCCAAACATTTTGCTCCTCCTGGTCAGACTCCTCAAGCCTACTTGAATGAGGCACCGCAACTCAAGCAGGTGCACAAACATCCAGATCTTTTTATTATTCTGGGGGATTTCAACAGAGCAAACCTCACCCACAGACTTTGCAGATACAGACAATGTCGTGCTTATATTGTTTAAACTAGAGCAGTGTATTTTTAACTTGTCTGTAATTTCTCTGTGAGAAACTACCAGACTCAAATTCCTTGGATGTGTGAGCTTATTTGACCAATAAACTTGATTCTGATTTCCACCTCAGACACCCACATTGTCCAGGATCCACCTCAGATACACCTCCACTCCAGGTCAAATACCCATATGGTCTGGGATCCATCTCAGACACACAGCAGCTCCAGGTCAGATACATGCAATAAAGGTGAAAGATTTTATGAATTTTTTTTACAAAGCAACAAATGACAATGTTAATGTACAGTCATGGCCAAAAGTTTTGAGAATGACACAAATATTAGTTTTCACAAAGTCTGCTGCTTCACTTTTTATGATGCCAATTTGCATGTACTCCAGATGCATTGCAATTAATTGCAAAGTCCCTCTTTCCCATGAAAATGAACTTAATCCCAAAAATCCCATTTCCACTGCATTTCAGCCATGCCACAAAAAGGACCTGCTGACATCATTTCAGCGATTCAACAAATGCAACAATGTCATTTTATTTTTTGGAGGTATGTTTTACAAAGTCAGAATGTTCAGCTATCAGGTAAAATGGTTTTGTGTCATATCTGTGATTTGTTTTTTGGACTACAAAGGAAAACAACTGACTGAACATCCTCCAAGAGTAGTGATTCCATAATTTTTGCCAGGGGTTGTAGTAATACTGCACCTAAATCAACCATTTATTGGATCATCAAGAACTTCAAGGAGAAAGGTTCAATTGTTGTGAAGAAGGCTTCAGGGCGCCTAAGAAAGTCCAGCAAGCACCAGGAGGACCGTCTCCTAAAGTTGATTCAGCTCCAGGATCGGGGCACCACCAGTGCAGAGCTTGCTCTGGAATTGCAGCAGGCAGGTGTGAGTGCATTTGCACGCACAGAGAGGCAAAGACTTTTGGAGGATGGCCTGATGTCAAGAAGGGCAGCAAAGAAGCCTCTGAAATGATGTCACTGAAACATCAGGGATAGACTGATATTCTGCAAAAGGTACAGGGATCGGACTGCTGATGACTGGGGTAAAGTCATTTTTGATGAATGCCCTTTCTGGTTGTTCGAGGCATCCGGGAAAAAGGATTGCCCAGAGAAGAAAAGGTGAGCGCCCAGAAGTTGATTGACAGCATGCCAGGGCAAATTGCAGAGGTCTTGAAAAAAAAGGGCCAGCACTGCAAATATTGACTCTTTGCATAAACTTGTAATTGTCAATAAAAGCCTTTGATATCTATGAAGGGCTTGTAACTATACTTAAATATACCATAGAAACATCTACAAACACTAAATCAACAAACTATGTGAAACCCAATACTTGTGTCATTCACAACTTTTGGCCACGACTGTATATCTACAATTAAGGTAAGTCAGTGTCAGTTGCTCTACACACAATCACCATATTTTAGTATACTGTAACATATTTTTTTTCCCCAAAAATTCTCAAGTTCATGAGAATTACCTATATTTTATTACTCGTTTAATGGTTTAACTTAAACTTGTGAAGTGCAGATTATTAATTTCCAACAAAGATCCTACTTGCAGGTTGCAAGCCTGTGTATGTACATACTGTGAAGCACACAGCTTTGGTTATGTCAAAATGGGTTAGTGGAAAAGGGTAGTGTAGCTCTTTTGACTTTTATTTTGGCACAGCACCCAAGATAGTGAGGAACTTGGGGAAAATCAGTAGGAGTGGCTTTTGGGGGAGTTTTGGCGTTTTTGGCGCGCCCCCTTCAAGTTCGAGGCTATTTTTATTTTTTGGCTGGTACAGTATGTTACTTCGGCTATTAAGGTTGGGTTGTGGTAATCTGAACATAGAGTCCTTCTTCATTTCTGGAAAATGCATCTTCAGTCTCCTGAACCCTCACGCGTTACATATTTATTATATGTGCGTGTTTTCCGGATGTCTTAAGGTAGTATTTATAATGAGTGTGAGCGTATACAGGGATTGACCTAACTGGTACGCAAGTACGCATTCACCTTTAAAAGCGATACGTGCGGCAATCGATTGTTTTAACGTATTTTATGTGCATTTGCGCCGATATGACAAGAAATTATTGTGGGTTTTATCCTCTATATGCTAATTCGTACTTCATTTGCGATATAGAGGTTAGGCTGCACGGTAATTTCTTGCTATATCAGTGCAAATGCTCATAAAATACGCATTTGCGCTGCTACATTAATCGATTACCGCACTTATCGCTTTTAAAGGTGAATGCGTACTTGCGTACCAGTTATGTCAATCCCTGTGTATATGCTACCATAATAAATCAGGAAAAAAAGAAACCACATGTGTAGTTGGATTATTCCTGAACAACTATGTACACAGCTAAACAGCTCAAATACGGCAGAGGTTTCTGTAGTAACTGCACCAGCTACTAGGTTACTGCAATAATAAATCACAAGAACGGTACAGTATCAGTACGTGGATATGATTTAAATAACGATGTCAAGTACTTCTTTGAAACCCCCAGGTGAGTTATCTGATGTGGTTTGAGTACTAACAGTTTTAAATGCTGATCAAGTCGAATAAAATGGGCAGTGCTCCCTTAAGACGTAGAAACTCGGGGCGTGGCGTCCCGGTCGGAGCGTCGGATCCGGGCAGGTACAGCGGGGTGGGGCGTCTCTGTGTGGCGGCCGGAGAACTGACAGGCTTGGCCATGAGTGAAAAGTTCGTTTCATTAAGTTCTCCTTTTTAGTGACCTAAGCAAGACCACAATCAACATGCCGAACTTGGGTAAGTACAGTTTTTTTTCGCAATAAATTCGATGTATGCAAAGGATTAAAGGTGCTGGTAGCCGGACGCAAAGGCTGGCTGTTATGCTGGGTGGAGCAGGAAGCTGATTCGCCGACAGGTGGCGCGGTGCTTCGGCCAGTCTGGCTAAGTATGGCTGTCCGTAATCATGTTTCCTGAGCACAAACACAGGTCTCTCCCTTTCTTTTGGAAAATAATTAGTTTACATTTCCAACAATCCAGCAGATTACATGAAAGGCAGATGTTATTGTTCAGAAATAAAACTGTAGGACCTATTGCTGGTACAGGGTCTAATCAGATTTTAATTTTCTTTATTTAATTTGGGATTTAGAGCGACCTGTTTCCTCAGGGTTCCATTGTGTGAAACCCGGGGTGGAATGTTTTGGATCTGGGGGAAATTTCCTGGAAATATAAAGGCAGACAAGCTGTAGGCTGTCACAGGCTGATCTGAGCGTCATTAGACAGGCTGATCTGAGCGTCATTAGACAGGCTGATCTGAGCGTCATTAGACAGGCTGATCTGAGCGTCATTAGACAGGCTGATCTGAGTGTCATTAGACAGACAGGCTGTCATGAGCTGATCTGAGTGTCACATGCCTAATTGTAACCCTAACCCACTCTCTCAATGCCTTTCTCGCATGGCTGCAGATAATTGGCGTGACTGTCTGGAGGACTCGAGAGCCCTCATGAAGACGGGCCTGGGCCTGGTGCTGGTGGGGCACATGAACTTCCTGCCGGCGGCGCTTTTGCACGGTGCTGTGCTGCGGCACGTGAGTCTGCATGAGCAGGCTCGGGCCACGGAGTATGCGGTAGCCAATGTCCTGGTCATCATTGCTGGCCTACTGGTGAGCCCTGGTGGCAGGGGGTAATGGATTGGCAGCAGAGTGTATACTGCCAGCTGTAACATTTGGTGGATTGGTACATAGTAGGCTCTTTCACACCAGAGTTCTGGAACCTGGTCCCTGCTTATGAGTTCCTAAGCTGTCTGGACCTGGATCTTTTGTAGCTCCTGGCCACTTCCATGTATCGTTTTCACACTGCACAATAGGAACTGGGACCTTTATGTGAAATAAGCATGGGAGATACAAAATGTTCGTAGGTTAAATTTCACACATAATTTCATGCAAAACTACACCACCACCTGAAAAAAATGGAGGATGCACAAGTCGTTTTGTTAGTCATTTGTTAGTTACTGGGACAATATACCAGTAATAAGCTCTGGCATGTTTCACTGCTGGCACTGGCAATAGACAAGGTATATCAGTTGTCAGTTGAATTTTACATTGCAGAAATATGGAAACAAATTATAAATGTATTAATTGATGCATTAAATGTAATTGAGATACAAAAATAATCCCACCTGCTCAATTTTTTCTCTACTGCTTATATCTGTCTTCCCTGCAATTCCACGTAACTAATGTCGGTGTTTGTGGTCAACCAGTCAGCAAGTTATCGCTGTCATGACACTGTGTTTGAAGGAAAAGTGCCTAGCCTGGAGTACAGACTGAAAAAGGGTTCCAGAACTACCTCCAAGGAACTACAATCGGGCTGACTACCTGCAGTATGAACATGTTCTAGGAAAATGTTCTAGTTTCTGAAAAAATATGTAGTCTTGGGAAAACAGTCCAATAGTCGTCATCATGACTCCTATGTGGGTATAAAGTAAAACTTTTTGCACTTTTTTTCTTTAGTTAACTGTAGGGTTGCAGGGATTTTCTGGTGTTTTATTTCCAACCATTTCAGCAGCAGGTTTACAGGGAAAGTTCCACCTGCTTTCTCATTGCTCTGCTGTCCCGCTACACCCCTGTTCCCACATGTGCTGTACAGGCTGTCGTCGCTGGGATTCTGGCCATTGTCATGTCCAAAAAGAAGAAGAGCGGGCTGTGGGTGAGTGTGGCAAGGGGTAGGCTGTGTGAACCAGCATGTGTGTCTGCCGCCAGCAGCAAACTTCCCCAGATGTCTTCTTGTCTGAGTAAAGTCGGGGTGTCTGCTCCCTGAGTAAAGTCGGGGTGTCTGCTCCCTGAGTAAAGTCGGGGTGTCTGCTCCCTGAGTAAAGTCGGGGTGTCTGCTTCCTGAGTAAAGTCGGGGTGTCTGCTCCCCTGCAGATGGGCATCCTGCTGCTAATCAGCTTGCTGGCCGGACTCTTGGCGCTTGCATCCATGGTGGACTTCATTGTCAGCTTGGTGACCGCCATCCAGAACAAAGGGCAGAAGCTCTTTACACACTGCTTGACCGTGGACAACATTAGCTACTACAGCATCACCACAGAGTGCCCCTTTGACCCAACACGTGTCTACGTGAGTCTAATGCTGTAAACAGACGGCACAAAAAGGGACTGATCCAGGAACAGTGTTTGACTGTGTCCTTCAGCTTGCTCATTTGCCATAAGCTTTGCCTTGAAGCCAGCGCTGACTCGGATTTGCACACGCACTCACACCCACAGTCACGCTCGCACTTACACTCACACTTTGGCTGTGTCCCCTCCCAGGGTACCACTGTGGCTCTCTGGCTGTTTCTCATCTTGATGTGCATGGTGGAGATTCTCTTCTCCTTCCGTTGCTGCGCAGCCTCTGCCTGCTTCCTGTCTTTGTCACCTCCATGTGGGAGGAAGAAGAAGAGAAGGAGGGTTGGCAAAAAACAGGTGAGTGAAGGAGGCTTCTCTCGTACTGTCAGTGATGGACCAATAAGAGAGCTTTTTGTGTGGCTCCATGTGGGTGTATGTCATGTATACATTATGTATACAAGCTGTTACCACCATTAGCAGGTAGTTCATGCCAAGGGCACTGAAAGACCCCCTGCTCGTTTGGGCAGATGATTTGTTCAGCGACTCCTTAGCAGCTGACTTTTCCTTATCGACCCTCATACCTGCATAACTGCCCTTGTTGATCACTTTCCTGACCATGTTCTTCTTTAGGTGACTGTGCAGCTCCCACAGGAAATGACATCACTGTCTCAGGACAGGCCATCTACACAGGAGGAGGACTCTGAGGCGCAGGAGTGTGACCTGCTCAAGGTGGATTCCACTCTTCTCCAGCTCTGAAGCAGGAACATCTACCTCTGTACTCTGACACCCGGAAGATTTGGGTGGGGCAGGTGCCTCAGGCTGCCGGCTATTCAGGGGGTCCAATGCTTCCTGCTTTTCTCTCTTTCCTCATTTTAGTATCAATGCTGCTATGAAAGGTGACAAAAGCCAAGAAGCCGCAGAACCTGATGTTTCTCCTTGTTGGTGAGGGTGGGGTGAGGGTGGGGTGATGGTGCAGCTCACAGTCACAGACCCAGATGTGCCTGCACACGGTGACACGGACATCGCACATACACACACTGCGTGACTGTTCTGGGAATCTTTAAAAAGGCATGTAATGCAGTAACAAATTCATTCATTATTCATTAACTGTCACAGTCCTCAGTTAAAACCTCATCTATTCGCCTTCACACCCAAATTCATACAAAAGTCCGACTTTAAGAACTTCTACAGGAAACTTCATCTGTGTGAGCTGTATAGCAAGTTAGTGATTGCTCTGTTATGCTATCACTTACCTTTTGGATTACTTAAGTACCTTCAAGAAGCATCAAACTTTCCAGAAGATAGCGAAGAAGACACAGCTACACACAGGTGCTATACTGGTTTCACATAAGTAAGCAAAGAAGCATGCTTGCAATTTGTTGAAGCATTAGTACATCAACAACTGTAACTTGCCTGTTATTTTGTATTGAGATGGTGCATCAATGACCTACAAACAGAAAATGTTAAAGAAGTGTAGTGTGCTATGCAGGGTTCATACACTTTGTAATGAATGGCTTTGCATAACTTTTCCATTTTTTCCACCCCTATTAAATTCTCCACAACCAATTTAATTTTTTCACTTTTTAAAAACTTTCATTTAAAAATACATCTGATTTTAACAACTACACACTGCTGCTTCACTGACTCTGAAATATATCTCTTCAGCAATAATAAAGCCAAACATTTAATTTAGAAAATCTTTCAGTAAGTGTCACTTGCTTATTTGTAAACTTTTGTAAAGGTATTGCTTACATTTGTGAAGTGTCAAGTTTTACTAGTCTTAGCTTTCTGGTCTCATAACAGACCTTAAATGAGCATTTCTGTTAGTGATGTCTAGTCAACAATGCAACAATAATCCTCATGCGCTTGCAGAAGTAGCACCTATGGCTAACAAAGATTGATACTTTATATCACATAACCAACTACTGTTAAACAAATATTTGCCCATGTTTGCTTCCTCTTTTACATAATTTATGTATTTGCAAAACTTTTCCAAGCTTGGAAAACCAAATTTTTACTTTTAATACCTGAACAGAGCTTGACTTTAAAGTTCATTTTTTGTTCCTTACTTCATCTGACAGCCGCTCAGCCCCCTGCAGCGTGCGAAAAGAGTGGGGTGGTCATATCGCTTGTAAAGTTCAATGACCACTTTGCCCTGCCCATGGTCTTTTGGAGCCCAGAGCATGTAACGATTATGAACAAGTCAGTGTCTTCTAAACACTTCAAAATAAAATACACCATAAAACAAACAGAATAAACGTTTTCCCCAATTATGATGCTTAAAAAGGCCTTACCGGAATAGGGAAATGCTGCCACATCGAGTTAACACAAGCTAGGTAGCAGGTGATCATAAAGTTCAACATTATATTTTTTGTCAAGTTATTTCATGTGTGCGGCTGTATGGATAAAGGAACACCGTAAGGTCACTAATGCGCGAGCCGTAGGATGCCCATGGTACTGCTCAATAAAAAAGATTAATTATCCTCCCCATAACAAGCAAACGGTATATTACAGCTGGCTGTACATTGTGAGCAGAAGGCACCCATTTGTTGTATCCAAGCTTTACTTACTGATCTATTTTAAATTCTCCATCACCTGTTCCTAACGTGTGACCAACAGTTTAGTACAGCAGGTGGGTAACACAAACTTGCCAATCCACCTTAATGTAAAGAACGAACTGGTGGAGTAGACCAAGGTGGTATCAAGTAACCAACAGGTCTTCACAACTTCTCTTCTGACTGGATGGCATTTCCGGCGCAGGCTCTGCAGCTTCTGTGGCTGCCGTTACCTCTTTTAGTATTTTCTTCATGTTTTGTGGTATGTGGAATAACAGATGGTCTACTTGGAGCTGTACTGTCATGAGGTTGTTGAGGATCATTGTCTGGTTTGACCCCAGCTGCAGCACAAGGCCCTTAACCACAACAGGCGACTTCCATTAACAGCCTGCTTACTCTTGCCTACAAAGAGCAAGTTGGGGGAGGTGTAAAGAGAATTTCCACACAGGGAACTACTACTATATAATTTATATATACCTTTGTGTCCGCCGGCCCTCCATTAAAGGAAGGGAACTAACGGGAAATGGGATGGTTTTGGCACACCAACCCCGTTAAAAAGGATGTTGGGGAAAAAATAGTCCAATTAGCAGGAATAGGTGCAGAAGGTTGTAAGGTTTATTAACAAAAATAATAATGAAACAATAGCCCAAAAAAACAGTCTCCCGGGAAAACCATCTACACTAAAGAAAACCAAACACAGGTTTAAAATCACAGCCTCACAGCAAGCTGCCCCCCCCTCCCTTTCTCTCTCCTGGCCTTCACCTTTACCACCTCACCTAACTGGAACCTACCACCTGTTCAGGTAAGCATGGGGTGAGCTGTGCAAAGATAAAACACAAAATTAACTCATACCAAACCAAACAAGCCATGGCAGCTATGTTTGACCTCCCACCATGCCTCTGCATTTGGCTGCAGTCTCATAAGGGCTACATAATTACTAACTGGTAATCTTTGATATTCTTCCCCCCCTAGTATAACTCCAGTAAGCAGCACCCAAACCTGTCTTCACTCTCCCTAATGAGCAGCTGACTTCCCTGCCTTCCCAGCAGCAGCACAACCAACCACCACATACACAGCAAACTCCCCTAGATAAAGAAAATACAAAACAATTATATTTCATAAACAAACCATATAAATAAGGGAATTGAATCCAGTGAAAAGGAAAAAAAAGTACCCTTTTCACACTTTGTATAAGGAATTGGGCTTTATTATTTATGATGATATCCAGTTCATATTTTGCTTTAATGAGTTCTTTACAACGGTCATCTGATGGATTTTTGGCTATTGGCAGAGTAAGATTATCAACTCTTATTTTCTAAATCATGTGCTCTTTTCTCTGGGTGGAATATGAGATGATTCATTTACGTATAAATTTTTCATACCCGCTAGTCCTTCAGGGCCATATATTTCAAATCAAAGAATTATAATAGCAGTAAAATTATACAGAACCTATAATGCTACTTTTGGCTTATGAAATAATAAATAACAAATGCAACTTAATGTGGTACCATTAAAACAGTATTTATTGAATTGCAAAACTTTTCCAAGCTTGGAAAACCAAATTTTTACTTTTAATACCTGAACAGAGCTTGACTTTAAAGTTCATTTTTTGTTCCTTACTTCATCTGCATTTCGCCATCGATACTTTAACAGCTTTCCGATTAGGGTTAATTAGGCGGAGGTGCGAAGCCTTTGATCCAGCGCGCAAACCGGCTCCTTGCACGATCAAATTGCCACCGGATCCTCACAGACTTCGGTCTGTTTATGAATTTTACTTTCTCACGTAATAGACTTTGGTTAGAGTAATTCATTCAGATGAACTTTTTCACACTCTATGTATGTGTTACCTGCTTAAGCTGGGCGCTTGCAGTGCGCAGCCCCGGTATTTCCCGGGCAACCGGCGCGTACGAGTTGCCTTCCGTGACCGAGAGTAAGGGACGGCGACTGGGTACCAGAGCCCGTCTCTGGCCGGGCTTCAGGGTTCCCTCCCCCGTCTCAAAACGCTTACCCCCGGGGCGCTTTGTGTTCCTGCCCGGCGTGCACATAACCTGTTCAAGCAGCGAGGTTATAGTGAGAGTTAAAAAACGCCTCTCCGTCTCCAGCGATGCCAAGCGCCTTAGGCTCGGGCGCTCCTGCGTGAGTAACGGCGCTGACCGGCTCTCCGGTGACCTGCTTTTCCGCTACCCGATAACGGCGTGCGATGTTGTGCGAGAGGTGAGCTGCAGGGTCATGCCAGTCGCCAGTCGGGTTTGTTGCTCAGTCATATTCACACTGTTTCTCTGTACTTTGCTAACAAAACCTACCGTGTGGGCACCGCAGCTGGGACCGACATACATTCTGTATCGGTTCGTGCTGCGGTACTCTTCCCAGAGAGCTGGCGTCCTCCGTCACCGCCTAGAATGCCATCTAAATCGGTGAGCTTTCTAACTGGACCTGCTGTTTGATGTCTAATATGCATAGAAAATATGACGGTGAGCTGGACTTCCCGCCCATACAGATACCATTACGTGCACCAGCTGGCGGTGAAACCAACCTGGCGCACACCCATAAGCAAGGTGCTCAGAAATCGGCTGGGCAGCTATCAGATACAGCAAATGAATGGTAAATGGTTTTAAAATAAGATACCATTTGAGTAGACTCATACCTAGAAAATGGATCCTTTCTGGATTTGGGGTTGTCTTAGGTTTTAGGGGCAGTGTGCATCTCAGTGCGTTAGGATGCTGAACCTGTGATCAGAAGATCTTCAGTTCACTTCCCGGGGTCAGTAGAGTTGTTTCATTGTCAGACCCGAGTTACTCCAGGTACTGTCTGACGCTTTTGATAAGTCTGTGCTAGAGAGATGCTTTATCAACTAAAAAGGAAATTGCAGCTACTTACTTCCTGGTGGCAGATTCAAATCCCCATCTCCCACATGACAGGCGAATACTCACTACTACACTACCGGCGAAAGAGGCAAAAAATTAAACCGTGTATTGAATTAAAGTTTTTTTTTCCAGCTTCTCATTTTAGTTAAGTGTGGATTTAATTGGCATAAATTTTTGCAAACAGTACCTTTCAGCTGGAATGTTCTGTTTAGACCAGTGTTTCTCAACCCAGTCCTCAGTGAACCCCAGACGGTCCACGTTTTTGCTTCCTCCCAGCCCCCAGCCAATCAGGATCACCGAATGTGCGCTGGGAGCTGAGAGGAAGCAAAAACGTGGACCGTCTGGGGTTCGCCGAGGACTGGGTTGAGAAACACTGGTTTAGACACTGACCAGAGCTGTTTGTCTTCCAGCTGATTGGACTGGACGCCGTACTTCCAGCACATACTTCCTTGGTCAGAAGGTCAATCTGCGGGCTTCTGCAGACTTCCTACCTCCTGGGGGGAAGCTTTATGTTGATTACTGCTATGCTACAGCCTCTGAGGTCCCCTGGTCCACACCCAGTCATATGGTTGTGGGGAACTTTGGGTACGTGTGTGTGCCTGTGTCTGCAGGAACATTTTAACGGAGCTGGGCATGCAGCATGTGACATGAGCAGTTAATCAACAAGCTTCTCTTTTTGCTAACTTCCAGTGAAATGGCTCGATTTAAGCTGGAGCTGTATAACATTGACATTGCGGTTGTGGAAGTTGTTGGTTTTGCACAGCGGTATGAGATTGAGGCCCTTCTGTTTGTCACTGGGCTCCTGCTCTAACTTTAGCTCTGGATTTGCTTGTGTCAGGATGGAGAACTAAATCCTTCTTCTTTATCAAGTTGTATGGTAGAAACCACAGGGTTTTTTGCAACCAGGAGTTGTGGGAGTGTCAGCTTTAGCTTCAGAGCTTTCCAGTTGAGTCATGGTCCTTCTGCCCAGGTAAGTCATGCCGCGTCAGCACGCCGTTCTTCTGGGTAGAACTCCAGATTGGAGACGCCTGCCTCAGTTGACGATTGGACCTATTTGGCACCCCCTAGGTATTTCTGCACTGCAGACTGTTTGTGATGGTGGGGGGTCCTAGCGCTGCTGCTAAGTCCTGTTCCTACAATGCGGAGGAGGGGAGGTACGAGAGCCTGTCTTCAGTTAGGACTTGGGCAGTTGCCTCTGACCCTCAAGCCCCTTATGACCCTGTAGGTGGCAAGATCTCACAGGTCCTGACTCCGTGTGTGACTGCTGTGACTCCAGCTGTAACCCATCCAAGGGCAAGAACCAAATGTTGGAGGGTTAGGGCTTTTCTTCTTATCTTCTCCACAATCAACATGATTCTAAATTCTGATGGCGCTGTGCCGGCTGGTTGCTTGATTTGTTTCCAATTCACTTTTCTCAGGGTTCCATAGCAGTGGGCTGTTTGTGTTCAGCAAAAAGTCCAGGTCCCTAGGAACTATCCCAGCATGGAACACGTCCTCTCACCTCCCAACATTGGATGTCACTGACAACAGCAACACATCTGGTGAAGATGACTTGGTGTGGCAGAATAACTATGACGAGAAAGAGAAGGTTGACATTCTTCTGCACAAGGACCTAAACCCTGAAGAAGTGTGTCGGGAGAGGCAGGAGAAGAGCCTTTTGAAAGCATTGATGCCTCCCTGTCAGAAGGAGGAAGGAAGTGTTGAGGTGTCTTGTGATCCTGGTTTGAGGATGGGCAAGCCCAAATGTCCAATATCATCGGGGCTATCGGACAAGCTGGCACCTTCTTCAGTGAAGGGGGGGGTGGAGGATGACTATAGTAACTATGGCCTTGTGTCTGGGATGGGGGAGGTCATGCTTCTTAGTGATCATTAGGGTCCACTGGGGTGTGGAGGGGTGGGGTGATGTTGCTGAGGCTGAGTGCCGTCTGCTCAGTACTGATGGTAAAACAAACTCTCTTCACATTTTCTTCATTTACCTACCAGCTTAGTAATAAAATTCATGTTCATTTGTGGTTAATGCTGCATTCCATTTGAAATCATAACTCGTAAATTCCAAGTTCCTAGTCCGAAAAATCAATCAGAGCGCCCCCTGAACTAGGAGAAATCAACACAACTCCGAGTTCAAGATGGTTGCACTCTTTAGCAACAGAAGTTAAAGCTGTAGTTATATACTGTTTATTATCACATGTCTTATTTGTGGCTCATTAAATCAGTTGTACACACAGTCCTGTCCAACCGCTATCTGTGGACATGTTGTTCAAAACACCACATAATGTTATTGACCGATATTGCTAACAATAACTAACTAGGTTAGCCGCAACTAACCAGGGGTGCGTTTCTCGAACAACGACGGAAGTTAGCATTAACGATGCATCGTACTATGGTAGTTCAAACTAACCAACATCCGACCAACGACTGTTTCTCGAAACCGTCGTACCACAGTTGTTCGAACCACGTTAGTTAGTTAGTTAGTTAGGACTTATGTAGTTGGAACTACAGTGGTTCCAGCGCTGATTGGTCAGACTCACGGCTAACCTACCGTAGTTTAAACCACAATGGTTCCAGCGCTGATTGGTCAGACTCACGGCAAGTCGTGGGCAACAACTAACAACGCACTTTCACAGCCGGTCGCGTACAAACACTCGCGAACTGTGTAAAATATATAATAATCACACACACATGTATATTTATTTGTGACATCAATTTCTGTCAGTCACATAACGCCAATAAAATGAAAATTAGCAATCGCGGAAAAATAATGCGACGCTCCTTGGAGTGATAAACAGAATAACTTTTATTCCGACGTTGTCGCTTACAGAATATTGTTATACTGGCTGACTGGAATACACAGGTGTGTGTAATAACCAAACATTACAGACGTAATTTCCCGAGAACAAAGGCATGGATTCGTATCTGGCCGCTGTAGTGTCATTCTGCTAACATTACCCACCCCTGTGCTAATTAATACTTTGCAGTCTGAGATTTGCTCACTACAGACAGTTACCGTACTTATGACCAGAGACCCACACAACAATTACGTTTCAAACTACATTTTCAGACAACTTCACATTATATGTGATCGTAGAGCTAAATTATTTCTTATTAGGTATTAAAGATTATTAAATTTCTTACTTACACGGTGACTATACCCTTATTGCACTGTATTTTCCACCATCGCTGACGAATTTGCATATAACTACGCTTCTAACTACAGCTCGTGAGCTGTAGTTCGAACTACACAACTTAACGACAGTGTTTGCGAACGTTCGTTCGAACTATGGTTTCGAGAAACACCTGCGTCGTTCAACGATACATCGCACCACGTAAGTCCGCAGTATCGTTACCTATGTAGTTCGAACTATGGTTTCGAGAAACACCTGCGTCGTACTTACATAGTTTGAACCACGCAAGTTGCTAACGTAGGTAGCAACGATGGTTTCGAGAAACGCACCCCAGGCTAGAACTGGGGCCCATTTCATTAAGCAGGATTTCTTGCTTAAACAGACAATTTGTCTTTAAGTTAGTCAGGCCTAAATGTAAACTTGTGAACGAAGATAAAGGCTGTGTAAACTGGAATAAATTAAATCCGACAAGTTATCCAGGTAAGCAAGAAATCTTGCTTTTTGAAACAGGTCCTGGTACTGTTAAATTGCTTTCTGACTTGTACTGGAACATTGGTCATGCGTGTGTGATGTCATTCCGGGTTCTGACCACTGAGGTAAATGGAACGCAGCATAAGCCACTATCACAGACTCCTATTGGTAGCATATCAACTGAGAAGGCAGCCTGCATAAGAGTGACGGCCTAATTGTGGGGCTGTTGTGTGTGACGACAGCAGCAGTGACTGGCCAGCTTAAGGATGGATCAAGTTTTTAATACACACCGTATGTCTGACGTATCGCGATGGTGAGTTGGTAATACTGTATGTATATCACGATGGTGAGTTTGTAATACATACTGTATGGCTGATATATCGCGAAGGTGAGTTTGCAGTGGTCCTGTTTGCGATTCTGGTTTGCTCCCGCAGTCTCAGCACATGTCAGGTGCCTCTGGGTACCTCACTAAAGTTGCACGTCTATAGCCCACATTAAAAAAAACAAACCAGTAAAAATAGCTTGTAACTGAGTCATGAGCATCCAGTTCCAGGTTGTTTGGCAGTGTCTGGTATGAAGCAGTAACAGAGAGTCTTGTTTTCCGTTATGACTCTGAAAGAGCCGGAATGTAACTGACCTGCAGCCCACAAAGCCGGTTCTGAGAAGCAACCTGTTTCCAGGATCTAAACTGCTGTACAGGCAGTTCTACCATTATACACTCAGGGCGAGCGCCCTTCTGCTACAGGTAGCTTACAGTTCTTGCGAAAAATGACTCGGAAAGTTGTGCTTTTGGAGTGATAGATGGACTGGATGGCTCTGAAATGGTACAACGGGAAGTAAAAATGTAATCGATTGCTGACATTCACTGTCATTCTGAAGTAAATTTGGGCAAATAGTTACATGGATTTTCTTACAAATAGATCTTTCACTGCTTCATTCAGGCCTTTCCTAGAGAATTAGTCTGTTTTCAGTAACAATGCAGGGTCAGTCATTTGCTACTTACCTAAAGTATAAGTTAACTTGTAGAAATATGGTGGCGTTTACTAAAACAGTCATTTGTTATAGTACAGTACACAATGAAATGATTTTCGCTCAAGATGCTGAAAAGAAAATGGCAATCGACAGCATGGCATCATAAAAAAAATAAGAGAAGTAGTTATTAATGTAAAATACAAAAATATAGAGAAAAATTAAATATAAATAGTAAATAAGCCTTCAAAAAGCAGCATGGGCTGCTGACTGTGAGTTTGAGCCCCAGTCAGCATAGGTTAGTGCAGTGGTTCTCAAACTGGGGGCCGCCAGACCCCTGGGGGGCCACCAGATGGCGCTAGGGGGGGCCACATCGAAATTGTAGAATCTAAAAAAAGAAAATTACTTGTGACAAATCAGGCTTGTCAACCTATGTAAAATATAATGTATTTAAAAAAAAAATAATAGAAGTATAAAAAAAATGTAAATATAAATTTTACGTAGCACACTACGCTGCTATGGACATCATAAATTATTGTTCAGTATTCAGTACTTTTGTTGCACTTTTCAGACAATGTTAGTTTTACTGTCAAAACTGTTTTAATACAATGTTATATTTTGTGAAATGTAAATTTAACAAACCAGAGAAATAAAGACTACAAACAAAAAAGGATTCACCCTACACAAGGGGACCTCCTGCTGAAAAAATTTGAGAACCACTGGGTTAGTGACTAGGAAATGGCGTGTCCCTTTTTGGCAGCTTTACAGCAGGTCCTCTGTGTGCTAAACGGGCTAACAGCACCAACAGCAGTATTGTAAATAAGGCCACAGAAAGATAGAAAAGGTGTCGGCATCTGTGATGATCCTGTGGAACCAGTTCATGCGCTGCAGAGGAACAAAGGCAGGAGCAGTTATTAGTAACACATCTGTCACAGAGAATAAAATAGTGGTAGGATAAGATGGCAGAGATAGGAATCAGACAAGGGTCTGACCTAGAGATAAAGCCAGATCCCGCATCATCTCCTGCTGCAGCACCGGGTTCCTTAGTATAAACCTTAGTGAGGCGTTGGTCGCTGGGCCTCGTGTGAACCTGCTGGATACAGTGTAAAGGCCTTGGGGATCCGTTTGGACCTCTGTCACTGTTCTGTTGGTGACGTCCTGGCCCTGCTCATCATGCCACTCCAGTGTGGCACTGGGGAATCCCCTGGATGTCAGGAGTAGCTCTACTCCACTCCTGGACACCGTGATCTGCACATGTGGCTCACTGTAGAATGCTGAGGAGGACAAGGGCCAGGTCACACAACTGCTGTCAGGTCTGGAGAGTAAGTTTCCACTACAGCTGACTGTATCTTGATAGAAGACTTTGCTGAGGTACAGATAGTACTGTGTACAGCACCGGACCAGCTGCTACGGCGGCTTTCGATGAGGGTACGATACCGAGGTTCAAACCCACAGCTGAGGGACTCGTTTTGAACCATGTCACCCTGAAAGATACAAGGTATGAGAGATGCCAGTACCTGCAAATTCCACCAAGAATGTTTTCTTCTGGCTTCCCATCAGTGTGCTGACAGAACAAGAGTAATAGCCAGTATCTTCCAGGCTCACGCCATCCAGTCTGAGTGAGGCGTTCCCTTGATGCAGCTGCGACAGGTACAGCTGGGTGCGGTTGGCATAACGACGGCTCTGCCTGTCCAACTGGTCCTGACTGTGGTAAAAGCTATGGACGACCTCCAGACCTCGCTGCCAGGTGACAATGAGACTGGCAGAGTCCCAGGTTCCAGGTCCCACTGGGAAACTGCAGGTCAGAACCATGAAGCGCCCAAAGACTGCCAACTGCGGCTCAGTGGGCACAGTGATTTCGAAATGCCCTGGAGACGGAAGATAAAAGGTCAGACCAGGGCAGGGCAGGGCAGGCCTTCTTAAAAGTGGGGGAGGGGAGGGGAGAATCATGTTTCAGTGAAAGTGGGTGTTACAGCACCAACCCCCCCCCCCCCCCCCCCCCCCCCCCCAACACACATGGATCAGAACTTCAGAAGGAAGCAGGAAGACCTGTTGCATAATGCACTTTGCACTCAGGTGAATGATTCACTGAAGCATAGTAGAAATTCCTTAGACATGAACAAGCACTGACAGTTACTAATGATACACACAAACCCTGGAATATCACTACAGAATGGAGTTTCTGTCACAGCCCTAAGCCCTATTTAACCCCTAAAACCCCCTAAAACTACATTTAACACCATTTAGCTATTTATCTCGTATTTTTGTATCCATTTCATATATTACTCCGGCTAACCAAACATTATCGCGGGAGGGACCTCACTCTGCTCGAAAAGAATCGCCCCAGGTCGAAGCCAAGCTACGTGACACAGACTCGGCAAAGAAGCCCCAGCTTACAGGAGACTGGAGTCCTCAGAGCCAGGGTAATGAGTACAACACCGACGGCCGAATACATATAGCCAATACCAGTCATCTGGCAGCTGGTCCGCAGTCTTAAAAAGAGAATTCAACATATATTAGATACATTAATTATGACTGCTGTCCAGCTTACATCCTGTGAACTTAAATTAATTGACGGCGTGTAATATTACTGACAATATTTCTGCATTCGGATTTTGACCCTAAACCATTTGTAAGTTCTACCAGACATGTAAACAGATTTAAGATTGATTAATTAGTAAACAAGAAAGTCAGTACAAACCGCGATGCCGGAGAATAGGGCAGCAAGCGACCGCTGAACATCCGCGTGTATTAACGCACAGACGTCAGTCCTCTGGGCTTTACGACGTGCAGTGAGGGGCGTGGAAAGCACCTGATACGTAAGTGAAGGTAGCTAGGCAAGTGCTATGGGTAAATTTGTAGCTAATATACACTGCTCAAAAAAATTAAAGGAACACTTTGGAAACACATCAGATCTCAATGGGAAAAAAAGTCATGCTATACTGATATGGACTGGGTAATGTGTTAGGAACAAAAAGATGCCACATCGTTTGATGGTAATGAAAATGATCAACCTACAGAGGGCTGAATTCAAAGACACCCCGAAAATCTAAGTGAAAAAATCATGCAGTAGGCTAGTCCTTTTTGCTGAAAATTCATTGCAGCAACTCAAAATCATAGTCAGTAGTTTGTATGGCCCCCACGTGCTTGTATGCATGCCTAACAATGTCAGGGCATCCTCCTAATGAGATGATGGATGGTGTCCTGGGGGATCTCCTCCCAGATCTGGACCAGGGCATCACTGAGCTCCTGGATAGTCTGAGGTGCAACCTGGTGGTGTCGGATGGACCGAAACATAATGTCCCAGAGGTGTTCTATTGGATTTAGGTCATGCAAACGTGGGGGCCTGTCAATGGTATCAATTCCTTCATGTTTCAGGAACTGCCTGCATACTCTCGCCACATGAGGCTGGGCATTGTCGTGCACCAGGAGGAACCCAGGACCCACTGCACCAGCATAGTGTCTGACAATGGGTCCAAGGATTTCATCCTGATACCTAATGGCAGTCAAGGTGCTGTTGTCTGGCCTGTAGAGGTCTATATGTCCCTCCATGGATATGCCTCCCCAGACCATCAAACAGGTCATGCTGAACAATGTTACAGCATAATGTTCTCTACAGCTTCTCCAGACCTTTTCACTTCTGTCACATTGCTCAGGGTGAACCTGCTCTCTGCGAAAGGCACAGGGTGCCAGTGACGGATCTGCCAAATCTGGTATTCTATGGCAAATGCCAATCGAGCTCCACGGTGCTGGACAGTGAGCACAGGGCCCACTAGAGGATGTCGGGCACTCAGGCCACCCTCATGAAGTCTGTTTCTGATTGTTTGGTCAGAGACATGCACACCAGTGGCCTACTGGAGGTCATT